ATGTTTTTAATTTTAGTTTCATTTTTTTCTTCCATAATTGATAATAAAAATGATACAAAGATAATAGAATATTTTAGAATTCTTAGGTTTTCTCTTTAGAATTTTATTAGAATTTTCTATTATTTTCATGTTCGATAATCATTTTCGTTGTCATTCTTTAGCTAAGATTTTATGATAGAATGTTGATATGACTTTCGTGATACAGAATGCTCAGAGATTAATTCGTTTGATCATTTGTGCGAAGCAGCTTATGTAGAGTTTTCTTATCACTTGCGTGGTTATGAAGAGGCAACAGACCTTCTCTGTTTGGTATCATCGCAACTTCATTTTACTCCTCATTTACGCACTTTATTGCATTTCTTTATTGATTTTCTAGAGATCATGTATAATAGGGGCGTTTATTGCATTCTAGAAATCATGTGAAGTAGGAAGCGGGAATTAAAGAGCGTGCACTCGAAGTTGCTTCTTAAAGTCCTGTAGCAGGCACCGTTTTCTGTATGCTATATGTGTTTGTTTAAAATCCTAACTTTGAAGTAGGTATTCTTCACGTGTGTTTACATTTGTTCCTGCATTATATTACAGATGACAAGTCCTCAAATAGAGGTGAGCAGGGAGGGTCCATAATCGACCCCCGCATATTCTAGTCTGTGTCATCCTAAGCTCACGTCGTAGATTGATGCTTCGGAGTCGTGCAAATCTTGTATATCAAGTCGGTCATGTGGGGAAGGATTTTGCAATTAAACCCCATGCTTTGTCAGGAGTTCGCATTGGTCGATGATGACACTCGGTGATAGTTCATATTGTCTTCTGTCGCCTACCTCAATCTTCTATATCTTGGTTAAGTGTTCAGCCGCTTTGGACGTCACATTTTTTTTATTTCATCCGTCTCCCGCTTGTTTGCTTCGGGTGATCCACTCCCCTTAGCCAAAGCATTTTCTCTTTATACCCTCATCCCCTGAGTCAATATACACCGATTGTATGCCTTTGCCAAAGCACTTGTCTGCTTACTTGTTTGGTATTTACCATGTCCCTTAGGATTGCTCGTGTAGAGTTAGTCCTCGAGATAGACATTAGGATATTTACCCATGTATGCTCACTTAGGTAAAGGTTTCCCTTTTAAAACTCAACTGTATGGTCATCATTGTATGATTACACTAGGGATAGAACTAGATAGTCTCCCTTAGATGTTTTCTGTTCCTTACATGTTGCATCTTAAGACTAAAGCTTCTTGGAAAATCATAAAACATCTCTAATAAACTTAAATCCTTCTTCAAGGTGAAAAATACAAACCAATCTTAATTTTTTGTGTGCCTTTTGGATTTATTTTAAACCTTGTCAGATTGACGTTTTTCCATCTTTGCCATGCTATTTTATTATCTTTTCGCCGATGTTTCATCATTGCATATGTTTGTTATCCTACCTTGATTCTCAATATCATTGTTAGATGTGATGTTTTATCATCTGAGTTGTTGATGTCTCTCCATCTTTGCAATGTTATTTTATTATCTTTTCGCCGATGTTTCATCATTGCATATGTTTGTTATCCTACCTGGATTCTCAATATCATTGTTTGGTATAATGTTTTATCAGCTGAATTGTTGATGTCTCTCCATCTTTGCCATGCTATTTTATTATCTTTTCGTCGATGTTTCATCATTGCATATATTTGTTATCCTAACTTGATTCTCAATATCATTGTTAGGTGTGATGTTTTATCATCTGAATTGTTGATATCTCGCCATCTTTGCCATGTTATCTTGCTATCTTTTTGTCGATGTTTCACCATCGAATATGTTTGCTGCCGATGTTTCGCCATCGCGCATGTTTGTCATTCTACTTTGATTTGCGATATCATTGTTAGGTGTAATGTTTCATCGTCTCGTCTCATATTTTGTTATCATGTTGATGTTTATCATCTTATCTGAGTTTGTGTTGCCATGTGATATCTTGTCGTCCTTGTTTTGATGTTTTATCATCGTTGCTGATATTTTATCATTTTATTTGATGTTTTGCCATCTTGATTATCGCTTTTGTCATTTTAACTAAAAAACACAAACCAACAAAAACATTTGAAGCCAAACTACGGCTGCTCTGATTCCTTAAAAGGGATACGTAGGCATTGGGGTAGGGCCTAAACGAGCACACCTTTTATTTTCCCTACATTATTTTCTCTTTTCTTTTACATGCATTCGCTGTATAGTTTAGATATAGATTCTTACACATCCTTTGATTAGAACATCAAGAGTGGATACCATAGAGTACTACGGGCGTGTGGGGTGGTAATACCTTCCCCTTGCGTAACAGACTCCCTTACCCATATCTCTTGGTTGTTCGACCTTGATTTCACCCTTCTCAGGTTTACTCGGTGTTTACCTTTTCCTTCCTATGGGATAAAAAAAACATTCAATGACGACTTCATTGATTTTATATCAGTTGATTGTTCAGCCGGTTGTTTCACTCACCTTCGTCCTTGGCTTGGTAGATCGGATTTTCAAAGTCATAGTTGGCAATAGAATAATTGTTATCAATGATCCAGGGTGGATATGGATCTGCAATTGGTGATGTGGGTGTGTGTGAGAGCACATAGCTATTTTGAAAGCAATAAAGTAAAAGAAAGACAAAGAGCCCTAAAATTTCAGTGCAAACGTCCAATGATTTATTAAATGAAAACATGCGAATGAAATATGATAAACCTAACAAATGAACTGTTGTGCCCCAAGTAAGGCACAAAGCTTAAAGTTATTGTTTAAAATTACATAGCCAAAACTTTGAAAGAAAGAAAACAAGAAAATAGAATTTACTCCTGACTAAAGGAGATTGGTATAATGTCTTCAGTCTTCCAATTGATGAGCCCGTTGCCAATGGTAGGAAAAATCCAACCGTCAAGGTCATAGTCACTATCAGCATCTCCTATCGCATTAAATCCATTATTGCTGATGCAAAATAGTGGTCTTCTAGCACGAGCACGGCAAACAGCCCTCTGATACTCTACAGTGAAACCCAAACCAAATTTGTCAAACTTGTAAGGAATGTCGATAAGCTGACCCCAAGTAGTGCAACCACCTTCTTCTACCATAGTTCTAGCATCTTTCAGAGAAGCCATTTTGGGTGGAACCCTGGTAACTTTAGGAATAGCGGAAATGTCTTCAGTAACAGTAGTCGTCTTAGGAATAACTTTAAAGGCATGGAAGGGAGTCTCGATGAATTTGTCGTCCATTTCAACATACCTGAAAGAGTTCAAGTGACTCACCACATAATCTTTTTCACCATAAACTGTAACAACCTTTCCTTTTACGGGATATTTCAACTTCTGATGTAGAGTAGAAGTAACAACGCTTGCCCTATGAATCAACGGGCGTCCAAGTAAACAAGAATAGGTCGGACGAGTGTCCATCACATAAAAAGTAGAGTTGAAGACCTGGGAACCTACTTTGATCGGAAGATCCACCTCTCTATGCACCATTCTCTTTGAACCATCAAAGGCTCTGACTACAATATCATTGGGTTTCAGCACAACCCCTTTACAGTCAAGCCTGTCTAAAGCACCCTTCGATAGAACATTTAATGAGGAACCCGTATCAATTAACACATGAGCTAAGGTAGTTCCCCTGCACTCAATAGAGATATATAAGGCCTTGTCATGGTTCCTTCCTTCAGGATCCAAATCAACATCAGAAAAGCCTAGCCCATTATCAATCGTCAGGCTAGAAACATAACTTTCAAATTGATCAGCGGAGGTTTATTGTGGTACATGAGCAGTTTTCAAGAACTTCAACAAGGCCTGAGCATGGGCTTCAGAGCATAACATCAGGGATACCATGAATATCTTGGAGGGGGTCTTCCCCAGCCGTTCAACAATATTGTAATCACTTTTTCGGATAATTTTTAGTATTTCCTCCATCTCTTGCTTGGAGGTATCTTCAGCGGTAATTTCTTTAGGTGCCTCCATCTGGTAATCGTCTGTTCTTTTCCCCGAGTCTCAGTAATTGACTCAGTAGCAGTTGTAATACCCTAAATTTGTCCTATCCCTTCATCAAAACATTTGGATTATGCATCTCTTAATTTTCACATGCATTATCTTTCCATTAGATCATTTAATGCATCACGCATCATAAATCAATAAACTTAGCATGGGATCATCGAACTTGGAAATTAGGGTTTTATCTATGCTTTAAGGCTTTCACTTCATTCGGGCTCGAATCAAGGTCTTCCATTGGCTCTGGCTTATGGAGCTAGGGTTTGGTTTCTTGATTATTGTGGACTTCTCCTTATCAAGATACAAGGTCCTCTTCATCAAGATACCTCAAGATCAAGGGTATTAGGTTCATGGGATAAAAGATGAGCTTACAGATTCATTTTCTTGCTTTTTATTTTTTTTTTTTTTTTTTTTTTTTTTTTTTTATTTTTTTTTTTTTTATTTTTTTTTTTTATTTTTATTTGGATTCATTATTTGGAAATGTTCATTCTAAGGGCTACCTAAAGTCATGAGTTCAACTCTGTGTTAAAACTATTAAATGGATCAAAGTTGTCTCAAACTTGCGAGGTTGGAAGATGTACCTATGTAGTTCAAAGTGCAAGTGCATCAAAACCAGACAAGATTTGTTCAAGGTTTCCAAGACATGTTCATCACTCAAGTTTCAATGTTTTCAAAATCAACACATTCCATTCAATCAAAACCCAATCATTTAAGCATATTATACTATAAGAGAGTTACATAAAGGATCATTGATTGGGCCAAGGTCTTCCTCAAGTTTTCTCTGCATCTTATCTTATGATCCATTCAAGTTTGCGTTGACGAGAAAAAGACATGGATTCAAAAATGGATTAAGGCTGAAATTTATTTAAGAAGAACATGTTTCATTACAAAGATTCAAAGGGGGATTACAAGTTGTGTCTCATTCAACAAAAGATCCAATTACACATACGAGAGAAATTATACAAAATACACGGGAGCCTATTGTTTCTAATCCGAATAACATGGCCTGTTTTCAAGTCAATCTTTAAACATCTTGCTTTACTTTGATCTTCATTGATTCATCATCTCCATGTGCCTTCACATTTCCTCCAAGCATTGCAACACGAACCAAACTGCACCCATGTCTTAAACCCTGTTGTTGCCCTACAAAAAAAAACAGTCATAAACAAAAGAAATTAAGCATCACAAAGATATGACCAAACCGCCCTGCATTCAAGCTACTTACTCAGTCCAAAGAATTTATATCAGTTCAACATACCCTGTACCAATTAATCTGAGAACTGAAAATCAGAACAGACAACCTACACTCTTCCATTTTCAAAACATAAAAAACAATATTCCTCAAGCATAACAGTCCATCGCAAGTAGTGAACCAAAACAAAAAGATTAGTTAATATCCAATATTTGAATTGTTCCAGTTAAACTTCATTCAGCTTCTACCGCAAAGAGCTAGCCGGAAATCCAATTCCAAGTAAACTAACATAACAATAGTTTACTAACCATTTTACTAGAAATTAATGCCATCACTTAATTACCTTGCAACTATTTTAAAATCTCAGGCCCCTGAGACTTTCCCACCCTTTTAGTTTAAAATCACTTCACTCTTATTCATCTCACACTAACTGTTCAGTTTCAATCACTAAATTGCCTAACCTCTTTTCTAACTCATTCAACAAACTCCTAACTTTATAACCAAAATGCCAGCTCATCAATCTAATAGAACCGTAAACTAACTCCAACTTGCAACAGAGTAGACATCCTATAACTGTCATAATTTCCTATTTCTAACTAGTTGTAACATAATTTCTAACAGCTAACAAAATTCCTAAACTAATTACTAACAAAAACTCTAACCAACCTAACTATCTTCAACTCCAGCTAGCATTAACAGAATTTCACTATAACTAACAATACTATTAACAGAGTTATAATATCTAACTAATTTTTCTTTATAACAGAAATCCTAACAGAAAAACTAATTGTCAAAACAAATCCAAACTAACTCTAACAACCCCTAACCGAATTTTGACTAACTCTTTTAACCAACTAAATAACTAACAGTCCATTACAGTTACTGTAACTAATAGTTAAGAAACTTTCTAGCTATTTTAACCAGCCCTCAACAATCTATATAATAGAATATAACAGAAAAAGGAAAAAGAAGATTCACGAGGCATTCATAACAAAAAAATTCATAGAAAATATATACTCACTTCTCAACCCCACTCTCTCGGCAATTCTTCCTGAGTCTTCATCATCTTCAACCTTCTTCATCCTTCAATTCTTAGAGAATCACTATTTCCTTCTGAGATTTCCTCTACAACCTCTAAACACTCTCTCTTTCATCTTCACACCACTGCAAGCTTCACAAATTTTCGAAACTCCATCATCATCGATTTTACTTCGCGGAAACCGGTTCTTTAAACATCAACGCAAACGCACCAACAACGCAAAAAGCAGAAAAAGAAGAAGAAGAAGAAGAGTAGAGAAGAAGAAGTATTACCTCTGTATTCATCATTTTTGTCACTTTGAAGAGTCTTTGGAACTACTCCGGCAGGTAATCTCGAATCTCCATTTACTGTAACGTTCATGTTTGATTTTGTGATGTTGTGGTTGTTGTGTGAGCCTCTGTGAACGAAAATATTTGGGATTAGGAAGTCGTGCCGCATTTCAAATGCGTATCAGATCGTGTTCCGTTGTTTGAATTGGTTGGAATGTGACAAATCTGTGTGGAGAAGCTATCAAAAGTGAGACGAGCAAATCGAAGCCGCACGAAGGTTGAATGAATCGAATTGAAGATGGAGATGAGGATGATTCGTGAACAGACGAAGACGGACGCACATCGTTTCGATGGTCATGGCGTTGGCATGATGGTTTGCGATCGGAGAACGATGATGATGGTAGGCGGAGATCAAAGCACTTCAAGAAGGAGGTTGAGCTGAAGAAGGCGATGCTGAGGAGTCGTGCGGCATTGCAATCGGCGGAAAGAATGAAGAAGGTTGTAGTTTGCCGCCGCGGATCAAAGGTTGAGAGGAGCAGAATCACCGTCATTGGTCCCTTTTGAAGAAGAAGGGCCTTGTCAATGGAAGTCCAAATGTTCCAATTGAACCCTATCCTTCTTAAAACGAATCGTTTCTCATATGTTTTTTTTCATTTTTATTTATTTATTTTATTTGTTCTTTTAGTTTTATAATAAATAATAACACCAAATATGTTAAAACCTGGTAGGAGATGAGACTTAGTTGAGTGGATTTGATGTTCCGGGACCAAAATCGTTGGGCTCTCGCTGCACACACCCCTCACGGCCCATTCCTTATTCTTTTTGGTAACTTGAAGTTTTGAACAAAACAAAAATAGCTTTTTGACTTTTCTAAAATGGGCCTAGTGCCCTGATTTCTGCATCCTCATGAAATTCAATTTTCACCCCCTTGTTTTCTTTATTTTCATTTTGCCTTTTTTTTAATTATAATTTCTCTTTCATAATTTTTGTCAATAAAAGTACATGATAAAAAATATAATAAAAATAATAAAAAATAGTAGAATATAATGGAAATTTTTAACAATTAATTCTTTAGTTTTTTTAGAATTTTCCTTACATAAAAACTAATAATAAAAATACCTTTTTCTTTTAGTTCTTATTCATATTTTACACTGTTTTGCCTCGTTATTCTTGATGTGTGTGTTCATTGTGTAAGGTACATTTTTGATGTTTTCGATCATGTAATATAATAAGTTGTTATGTGATCGAAGCATATGGCTTATGCTCGCTTCTGATGCGACACGCCTTATTTCTCATCATCCTGAGAAATTCATATCATATTATATGTTGTCCTGATGCATGTGATGTTTTATGATGCTTTGTGCAGGAACTTTTGATTACGCGCTGCCTTCACAACACGCATTTGTTTTTATCTTAGTTGAATATCATTTCTGAATTTGTTTGTTTCTTGGTGAAGCTTACTCGACGCGTAGTCCCTGCTTCTCCATTACTTTTGTCTGCTTTCGATGATTGGCTTGCTTGTGGTAGTCGCCGCTACTACATGTGTATTTCTCAGCACTTTACTGCATTTCTTTACCGCTTTTCTAGAGATCGTGAGAAGTAGGACTTTACTGCTTTCTGATGCCATGAAAAGTAGGCTAGAGATGTATGAGGGGATCTTCTTTGTTGATCATGTTAGGAATCCCTCTGGTTTATTTAAAGACTCTGTTGTACCCGAAAATTTGCCCTCCCTTTTTCACAAGAAATCACAACTTCAGGATTTTCCCTGACTTTTCAAGATTGGCTCAGGAATTGTTCAAACAGACTTTTCTTTGACGACAAATCTGGAATTTAGGGTTTCCATTGATTTTGAATTGATCAAACAAGACTTTTCTTTGACAACAAGTCCAGAATTAGGGTTTCCATTGATTGGGTTGAGATTAGCTTAGGAATTGATCAAACATACTTTTCTTTGACGACAAATCTGGAATTAGGGTTTTCGCTCGTATTTCTCAGAAGAAATTGAATCCACAATAATTCAATTGACTGTTACATTATTTTTACGCTTGTTCTAGGTTACCGGTTGCTTCTCAAAACCTAAATATCTGGGATAGGAGTTGAGGCTTTGATTGAAACTTTGAGGCATTGGTTTGATCAGGGAAGTGAAAAGTGTATGGAATGTTTGTTTGTTTTAACTGTACAAAGCATATGATTAATTGGAATGCCAGGCGTATTGTGATTAATGCGAGACTGCGAGACTGCAAAGTTTGTTGATTATTTATTTCGTCTGGATTAAAGTCATTGGGATACATTTCCAGTTATTTTAATTTAAGAGATTTAAATAATTAAATAGACAGTGCAAAGGAAAGAATGAAATATTTGACAGTAAAGAATTCTTATTTGACAAAGACTTTTATTTATTTATTTCAAATATTGTTACAAATGTTATTCGGATACTGTAAATTTATAATTTATAGTGTTTACAATAATATTTATTACAATAAATGAAAAGAAAATAAATCTAAAGCCTAAATCTCTTGAAATCTTCTACTTTCACTGCATCCTCCATTATTCAACTGGTATTTACCTGCAAAGACAGAAAAAGAAGTTAGTAGAAGAATTTTCAAGCAGAAGCAGATAAATAAAAAAGATCATCATTAAAGCTTGTTGGCCGGAATCAGATTGTTTTTGGGTTCATCATGTTTTACTTGTCCTCTTTGCAAATCACAAGAAGATTTCTCTTCTTGGTTCACAAAGAGGAAAGATTTTGCAAGCATACAATCAATTAAATGCAAAGGCACAAGGTTGCACACAAATTTCAAACTGAACTGCTAAACTAAAATTCCAAACTGCATTAGTCAACCAAAGGCAGCAAGGCAAAGCAAACTAAGTTGCAAAACTGTCAAAAGCAAACTAAGTTGCAAAACTGTCAAACCAAGTACACAAAGCTGTCAAAGCACAAGATGTCAAAAAGAACAATGCAGAAAATATGGAAAGAAAGTACAGAATGCAGAGATAAACCAAGATACAAGCAAGCAGGCTTGTCAAACTTCTCATCATGTTCTGGCCAACAAAGCTTTTCAGAATAGAAAATACATTAAGCAATTTAAAATGTTTTTTATGGAGAGAGAAAGAGAAAATGAGAAGAAAGTTTTGCAGTTTGGCAGGCTGTACAAAGCAGTGAGGAAGGAAATAAATATAACAGTCTAACAGTTCAAGAAAGGGGAGAGCCACAAAACTGCAACTCAATTCAAACTGCAGTCACAAAAACAAGCAATCTTAACAAAAGGCTCAAACCTGCCTCCAAACACCAGAAGCAAACTAACAAACACAGAAAACCTGTTAGACTGCATAAACCTGCCTTCAAAAGAAAAAACTGCTTCTCAAGCAAAACCTGCTTAAACTACAAAGATTACAAAACCAGTTAAAAGAACAAATCACACAGGCCAAAACTAAAAAACCTGTTCAACCTGCAGAACTGCCTTGCAAATGCCAAAAACCTGCCTGTAAGCGTATCCAAACTGCAAAACTTGCCTGAACATCAAGCAAGCCAAAGCTTGCAGACCTGCATTACCAGTCAGCAAAACTCCCCAAGCCTGCATTACAAGCACTCAGGCCCAACTACAACCTCAAACCCAAAAAACCCATAACCTGCAAAACTACCTCAAACTAAACAGCAAGCCTGTCAAAGCCAACTCACAAACTTACAGCCTGTATATCAAACTCAAATCCAAGCTAACAACAAGCAATATTTCAGAATACATATGTTCATCATCGAATAAACAAGGTATTCAAAGAAGAAGAGAGATGTAGAAGCGATAAACGAATCAGAAACAAATAAGCAAGTCTCAGAACATACATTCATCATCACCAAGTAACAACAACAGTCAATCTCAGAACAAACAAAGTTCATCATCAAACACCAAATCAACAATAACAAATAACTTTTTCAGAAACAAATTCATCATCAAAAGTCCACAACTAAAGAGGAAAAGAGAGATTCAGAAGCATATGTTTTCAGACAACATCATCATAAAACAATCATCAACAGAAATCAAGTACAGAAATACCAACAAGCTGTCATCACAGCCCTCTTTCGCCTAGCCTCCTGGAAGCGCCTCCGGCCAACTCACCCCCCTTCTCCTTCAATTTACAGAACAAAACGCCAAGGTATATTTCTCAAAACTCCTACTACATGTAGATATCAAAAGAAACATGGACTAAAACTCACATGTAGTGATCAAGCAGAATGAAAGAGTAATATCACAAAAAACCTAAAACAAGTTAACAAATCGTAGCGTCGCGAAGCAAGAACCCTAGACCACTGTGAAGAGAAGGCAGAAGGTGGATGGAGGCGTTGCTCCGGTGGCTAAGGCGAGGGGTGAGGATATTCGTTTGCCCATGGCTAAGAACGAGAAGATGAGAGGCGAAGAAGATGAGAGGAGCGGCGCTGTTAACTCAGAACTGCAAACCTAACTTCTGAACTCACATAACACAAACCCTAAAAATTGTTGTACAAACATCTCCATTGGGCCTGTGCGCCCCACATTGCATAAGGCCCAACACTTTCCTAGCGCGTACCCCCCCCCCCCCCTTTCTTCATTTCTGGTTTTCTTAATTTGTTCTTCTTCATTCTCTATTCTTTGGGCCACAATTACTCTAGGCCCATCTTTTTTTTAAAAACTAACATTTTCTTTAAAAAATCACTTTCTTTCTTGTAGGTAATAAACACTAATTAAAATTTTATTTTCTTTTTAAACTAATTTTATTTCCCTTTATTAATATCGTTTTAATATAATAAAAGTACAAAAAAGAATAGTTAGCTTAATTTGAGTAATTTTGCTTTTTTTTTAAAACTTTTTTTGAATTAATAAAATATAAGAATTATCTTAAGCATTAACTTAAATAATTTCTCTTTTCTTTAAAACTCTTCGTTTATATAATTAACAAAAACACAAAAAATAATAATAATACCTAAGTCTTTAATTAGGTTAATTTTTATTTGAGCATTTGTAGATAAATATACACATCTCATATCTCTTTGATTTTTATTATCTTATACCTTGTTATATTTTTACATTGAGAATGCGACAATTCGATTTGGTTGTAATATATACTTGGACATTACTATTCTGATAAGACTCATCCCCATTTGTAAACATTTGTACCCCCGTCCCCGGATACTTATTTGTAATAACTTAGACTTTAAATTCCCGCAATTTATCGCTTTCCATACACTGTATAATAATTAGGGTTTGTATGCGAAGATTCAAAATCAATCGCTAGATGACCTAATACAAGATAAATGCATGAAAATCAATACACAATTCACACTTGCACCTCTAGGGTAACCTCGCTTGTTGCCTCGGAAAATGAAATCATGTTCCTCGAGTATGAGACACTCTAGCAAATGCCCCTTCAATAAACAAAGATCGTAGTCCCTCGATGACCCTCGATATTGCCTTCGATAAAACGATCTCGTCCCTTAAAAAATTGCTAGAGCGTCTCACAAGTTGCCTTCAATGATTGTATACGATGACTTGCGCCTGTCCTGTTAAACATCCTAACGCAA